TTTAGGTACTCTACTCTGAATTCCAGGGTCTCCATTCCCTTTTGAGGATCTCTGATTTATTTATTTATTCTTCTAGAGGAATTGAGATGGATCTATTATTTAGTTCATTGTTATTGATTAATCAAGAGAGCTTTATCTTAGAGTTGGTAGAAAAGTCTTCCAATTTGGAGACTTTTTTCCATGCTGATCAATTCTATTCCAAGCTGTCTGTCTTATTGTGATCTAGTATGTCCCAGCAGGTCAACAGATTCGTGAAATGCCCCTGAATGAAGATTGTTCTCCCTTCTAATATGATGGGGCTTAATGGCTTTAAACTGACAGAGGGTATGTTTAGAAGAGATTTTAGAAAGAAATTCTTGACTATGAGGGTGGTCAGGCACTGGAACAGGTTGCACAGAGCAGCTGTGGATGCCCTATCCCTGGAAGTGTTCAAGGCCAGGTTGGATGGGGCTTGGAGCAACCTGGTCTAGTGGAAGGGGGGTTTGGAACCAAGGCAGGGGGTTTGGAACTAGATGATCTTTAAAGTCTCTTCCAACGCAAACCATTCTGTGATTCTTCATTGGAAGGAGGTAAAAAAGACTGTTTGGCTGGAACCTCCCTTTTTCTGTTCATTTGTGATACATTTGCTAACTTTTCATAGGTAATGAATGCAACCTGATTTTTTGAAGACATTTATACAGGTAGACATAACTTTTTCCTCATTTACCTGCTGTCATAGGTCAAGTGTTGTTTTAAGAACTCTAGTGACACCTAACAAATGATGTGAAATGTCCACTTCAGTCCTTTTGGTCTCAGGTTTGATTTTTTTGGTGGCATCTTGGGATTTGAAGTATTCCAGAGGCACTGTGTTCCCCTCCTATGGGAAGAATGTATTGAGCAGAGGTGCCAGTTGGAGGCACTGATTAATGAGCTTTGGAAACAGCAACTTGCTTTGGAGAAAGCAAGGCAGTGTGTGATAAGTGAGCGTTGTATGTGTTCCTCTTGAGTCAGCAGTGTTTGAGCAGGATGGGAGTAGGGACAGGGTGCCTCTGGTGTGAGTTGTTTTCTAGAGACAGGAAGTATTCCTTAACTTCATCTCCTGGAAGCAGCAGAAGGCAATGGGGGGCACCCTCCGTAATGGAGACAGTAGCAGCATTTGGGGAGGCAGGATAGAGAACTGTATTTCACTTGTTGCTTACTGATGAGTTCATCTTGGTCTAAGTAATTCATTAATCAGCCTAACCTTTTTTCAGAGAAAAGAAAGAAACGTCGATTGGGGCTAGAAGTTATTTTTGCGGCCCTGGATTATGCTGGCTGGAAAGAAAATGTAAAAGCATGGAACTGCTTGGCAAGACAGGTGAAACAAATTGTAATGTAAGTATCTCTGATGCAATGTGCTAAAAACAAATGTATCAAGTCTCTGGCTTTGGCAATTGGCAAAGTGTCCCTGTGTAGCCTTTCTCTTCCTGCTGGTGAAGGGAAGAGTTGCCTGGCTGAGTTCCATGACACTGCTTGACTGCAATGTGCTCTTGTTGGGAGGGAAGAAGAAAGTATTGAGAAGAATTGAAAATTTCCAGTACTGCATTTCCTGAAAAAAGCTGTAGTGTTTGGGTTTTTTTCTTTTGGTTTGGTTTTTTTTTGTTTTGTTTTGTTTTTTAACAGGTTACATCTTTATGCAGAAAGAGTTATTCAGATGTTGGGGTAGCATTTGCTGCCCATCACTAATCGCCCTCTTTTGGGACAGGAAAGTTGTTGGTCGTTCAGTTCTGTTCTTACATGTGCATTGTTGGAAGCTGTTTTGAGAACTGCTGGGCTGCAGCAGGGCTGGTACTGTGCAGATTGGTGGGTTGTGTGATGGTGGTAACTGTTACATGGTGCAGCTGGTGGGTGTATTGTTAAAATCTGTGCCAATGTGCCTGGGGATTGATGTCCTTGCCAACTCTGACAGACATGGCCTCTGATTTCAGAAGAAGCCATCTCTGACAATCTGCACCCAGAAGGCATCCAATGTCTAGGCTTACTTTACCCAACAAACAGGCTGTTGTATGTTTCAAGTCCTAAATATTTCCGGTAAATTAATTTGGCACTGAATTTGACCCATTCTACTGCTTTATTGCCACCTCTACCTACACAGCATCTGCTGTTAAGACCAGAAGCTAGTGGATTAGAGCTAGGAGTGTTGTTGCATAAATTAGTAAAAGTAGTATGATACTCTAACTTTGCCTTCATTTTTGTTTTTGAATACACAACTTCAGAGTATCTTGAAATATACTGGGCATCTTGGTCATTTTATGGGAATGTCGCTTCCCTGTTGCAGATGGTTTTATAGAATCCTAGAATAGTTTGGGAAGGGACCTTAAGGACCATCTAGTTCCAACCCCCCTGCCATGGACAGGGACACCTTCCACTAGACCAGGTTGCTCAAGCCCCGTCCAACCTGGCCTTGAACACTTCCAGGGATGGGGCATCCACAGCTTCTCTGGGCAACCTGTTCCAGTGCCTTACCACCCTCAGAGTGAAGAATTTCTCCTAATATCTGATTTAAACCTGTCCTCTCTCAGTTTGAAGCTATTCCTCCTTGTCCCGTCACTACAGGCCCCTGCAAAAACCTCTCCAGCTTCCTTGTAGGCTCCCTTGAGGGACTGGAAAGAGTATTTGCTTCTGAAATGCTCAGTTTAGAGTTGGTCTTGATGATCCTTGTGGGTCCCTTCCAACTCAGCATATTTTGTGATTCTTTTTAAGGGTGTTATTGCATAACAGTAAACTGTTTGGGATAAGTTAGTCTTTGAGTATGCCTAGAGTAACACAAACCTTTCCTAAAAACAAACCAACCCCTTCATACTACCAATTTGTTGACAAACTTGAAGAAACTTCCATATTACTATTGACAAACTGGCACGAAAGTCAAAGGCTTGCTTCATTTCACACCGTAATTTGTGTTATTGCCAGATCTAAATAAGACTGCTAAAGTCTTGTTTAGACTGCCTCCTGCCTCAATGAGCATTGCCAGGGATTTAAAAAAATAGCTGATTTCTGTTTAGATTAGTGTTTCAGACTGAGTATAAAGTCGGTGTGTCTATGTTAGCAATTTAGGAGACTTGTAGCAAGTTGGTTATAAGTGTCAGTGTCTCCTAATAATCTTTTCATCACAATTTAAGCTTTTATGTAACTTGTTTAACCTTTTTCCAGCTCTGAGAAGCATCTTGACTGGATCAAGCAAGAGTGGAACTCCAGGAAGGACTGGTGGCCAGCCTTCCATTTTAGCCGGTACTTGGCAAAAAGGAACTGGCAGGAAAATAAAAGCCTGTCATATGAAAAAGCTCTGGTGGCTGGAATTTTACTGGGAAAGGGTAATACTACATGTTTTTTTCCTTTTCACTACATAGAACAGAAATACTGTCTAGTTCTAGCCCTAATAAGATGGGATGCAGCTGTTCTGCTCCTTGGAAGAAATGCAATTTCTTCCTTCTAGGAAATATCCTTGTCTTTGGAGCTAAACATGAAAGATGTTTAAATTGGTTTGATATTTAACAATGAGGCATATTTTGCATAACTTGTCTTATCCTGGTTTAGAATTCTGTTTTATCTGGCCCTGTTGAGCAGTCATAATACTATTTATCTTGTTCAACCTTCAAACCACAATTTCACAAATGCACAACACACTCCTGAGGGAATGTTGTGAGGACAGTGGAGAGTTTGCTTGCTGGCTGCCAGCCTAGGCAGTGTCTCAGCAAATGCTGGGGAGCAGTTGGACATTAAGGACCATGGGGATGTTGTAGTGCAGGAAAGAGGAGGACAGAGGGTCTTGAGTGAAAACCATCAGCAGTTTGGTAAGAAGATGAAGATCTTTACCTCTTCAGTAGCATTGTTTGGAATGCTGCCAAAACCAAGTGGAGGATCAGGTCAAGAATCAGCTGCTAAATTGAGAATGGGAATATGGCATGGAGACCATGGCTCATACACTGGTTTGGACTTCTGATTGTCAACTTGTTTGTTGTCTATAACTTTGTTTCTATAACTTTATCTTCTGGACCTAATACAACAATTTCTCATAATGAAAGTTGGGTTTTCTGGTGGTTTTTTTTTTTGCTTTCTGTAGTATGTTATCAAATGTCTTGCAGCTTTTATTTCCAGCTAGCTAAAAAGGTTGTTCCAGTTCTCATTTTCTTGAATAAAGTTTTAGTGCTTATTTGTATCTTATTGGTGTCAATGTGAGCCTCTATTTTCCTTATCCAGCATAATAAGTTAATGTATGATATCAATGCTGCTTTACACCCTTGAAATTTTGCTTTGTGATCTATTTGCAGAGCAAAAATTTAAGAAAGAAAAAATATTTTGCGAGACAGCATAATTTATATACATGTAATGTTTTCTGGGTTAAGTGAGGATGGAGTATTTATTACTACAGTTATATCTCTAATGTGTGTGTCTTGGATTTTAATACCTTCAAGTACTGAAAAGTTTCTTAGATGTTTGCATATTATTTAAACAATGAGAGCATTTTGTATTTGCTTGTATCGTGGTATAACTTACAGTTTGTTTGTTTTTTCCCTAGATTGCAAGTACTTTAAATATGTATCACACCAAGGCTGCAAAGCTCAGGTGAAAAGGTTCCGGATTCTGAAGAAATTTGTGAACAGGCACAATCCTGTCTACCTGAGAATATCTGGTCTTTCTGATTCTTCTGTACAACCTTGATTAGAAAGCATCCTTAAGGTTCTTGTACTTTCTCCTCTCTGTAAAACTGACTTCTGGGTTGGTGCTACGTTAAAACTTCTGGGCAGACCCTGTCAACTCAGTACTAGACTTTTTTATATACTTCTGTAAAACCTCTTTGGTTTGTATTTATTTTATAATAAACCAAATATAAATCAAGTGATGAGGTTGAAGAATTTCTTTAATGTTAGTCCCATATTTCTGTGTGAAATGCAAACAGCATTGATTTCAAATACAGCTTGAAAATTACTTAGTCTCTATGGTTTGGAATCTCTATTTCACTAGTATTGCAAGATTGAGCCTCCTCATGTCTAGATGCATAGATGGTGGAAAGTAGTTCAAACTCCATTCAGGACTAGCAGTGGCATTCATAACAGGTGACATGTCTTAACCCAAGAACAGTACTTAACACACTGTCAAAACGTGTTTTCAACCTGTAGAAGTTACGTGGCTTCAGCTTATAACTGATCATTTCCTGAAACAGGGAAAATGGAGAGGCATCAGTCACTTTTTATAGCACTGTATATTGAGAAGAATTATTGATTGTGAAGATCTACTGCGGCTTGTTCAAACAGATGATGCAGTTTTTCCATATGTCATACTTATTGGCTGTCCAGTTCAGGGATTGTTTTCACGTTGGTGGTAGGAGGGAGTTAAAGGTTGCTGTAGCTGCATGGCCACATTGCTTTGAAAGAGCAGAGGCACAGAAATACTGAAAACTCTACTTGGTGGAAGAGACTTTCTAGAATTTTTTTTTGCAGTCTTGCCTATGAGTTGAAATGTGCAGTGTTGCTGTGCTTGGAAAGCACACCTTCATGTGTTGTTACAAACTAGCATTCCAGCTTGCTTGAAAACAACAACAAAATGCTTTCCAAGTACTACTTCTGTTTTAATGAGAGATCTGTAGAATTCTGGAGGATGAACTGCTGGAACCCACCTCTGGGAATGAAACAAAGATGTCTTTTGTAGCAGAGTAATTTATGGGTAAGTACACCTGTGCTTTTAAAAACTCAGTGTTTATCTGGAATTTTGGCCTGGATTAATACGGGTTGTGTGAGATGTGCCTTAAGACAGCGTGTCTAGTGTTGAGAGCTACTTGCTGTAACTGTATGTTCTATTAAAAAAAGGCAATTACTCATCATTCCCAACCTGTGTGCTTGTTTAGTTCTGACTCCCAAGCAATGCTGTTGCCTCGCTTTGTAATAGTCAGGGATTTTGTTGGAGATCTTCAGCTGGGTTTTGACTATTTTAATTTAGATTGTGAAGTTTCAAAATGTTCTTCCCCAACATCTCATAAGGTGCCCTGCACCCCTGGGAAGCAACTCCCCCATTAGCTGAGAGAGGTGGTCCGGATTGTTGCTCCCAGTGACTCATCTTGATGGGTTTCATGCCTGGGCAGTGGGACTAAAGCTGTCCTGGGAGAGCCCCGGGAGGCAACCAGGCAGAGTGTCCCTTCCCTTGAGTCCCTAATTTGGCTTCCTGCCTACCATTGTGCTCCTCTGCTCCTCTGGACTTGGAAAGACAGGCCTTTGATGGGCTGGTGACTCTCCTGTGATGGTCCTGGGAGCATCGCAACAGGGTGTTATTTGGGCTTCCCCCTTCCACTGTCTGTGCTCCTTTGGGGGCATGTGGAGGAGCTTTTATTGAGGAAGAAATATGAAACAAAGCATCAGATATTGGGGTGGAGGTAAGGACAGCGAGAGGACAAAGAGAAGCTTGATGCCTTTGAAAAATCTGTTAGTCCACTGAGCTTCCAGCTTTCTCCTGTGATCTCCGGAAGCAGGACTGCTGCTGGGGATCATGTCCTCTCCCAGTGGTAGAACTACCATCCTGCAATCAGCAAGTAGAAGAGCAGCACAGTCACAGATTTTGTGTAATTATCTCGAGCATTGCTCTTGTCCTGCAAAAAACTTGCTGTTTCTTGACACCATAGTACTTCCATGTGAGACAAATCTACAGATCACAAGTCCTCAGTGAAATTTCTGGGCAAGGTATTCAGTGCATACTGTGTTTCCAAGCCTATGTGTTGTACTTTGAAGGTGGTAAATCCCAGGGGATTGGAATGATCTGCTTTGGCTCTGAATTCTGTGCTCCAAGTTTGGTTTTCCTATCAATTGCCCTCCCCATCCTGTGTGCAAAGCTTCTGTGAGGTTTTCTTTTTCTTTCCATGAAAGCAATATCACATCTTTTCTTTGCTCTTCTCCTTTGTGCTGAGTCAAGGAACTTTTTCAGGGAATCCACATTTTCTGGACAGACCCAGTGTCTGTTGTCCCTCTGTTATTCCACCTCTTGCTCTGGTATTTTTCATATTAAAACCTAACATAATGATAACACAAAATTACACATCAGCTCTACCTCTTCTGCCTTCCCTGTTCCATCCATTGTTTTGATGCTCCTGCTTGCATTTTCCTGTTATGAGAACGTCTTTACTAAAGTTTAAGACAAGCAAGGTAATGAAATGTCAGCTGCTTTTTAAAGCATGTTGATTGTGTGTATTCTTACTGCCTTTCTTTTTTCCCCAGCAGGTTCTCTGTATTCTGAGCAGCTGTCTCATTCTGGACACCAAAGCAATGCCTTAATTTCAGTGATTGTCTGCAAGGTACGAGAGCAATAACCGAGATAAGCTGATACTTCAGCAGATATAAATAGTTGGATTTAAAAAGCTTTATCTCCTGACAGTGCTGAAATCTTGTGACTGGCGCATTTCCAGTTCATTGAAGTCTAAGAACAGACAGGATTATTGTGAGGCTGCTGGACAGTCAAGGTACCACAGCAAAATAGGTGAAGGTTAAACCCCCAGAAATTTAAAATAACTGTCTCCCAGTAAAGACTTGGAGGAGGCCCACAGTCACAGAGTATTCTCAGGTGTCACATTACACTGGTGATTGTATTGAGAAGCCAGGACTGGGAGCATTGACTTCTCCATGAGCTAGATCCTGGGAGTGAATGGTGATGTGTGGGGAGACAGGGAAGTTTTGAATGAGTAGAGGTGTCCCTCTATGTGAGATTCTCCCTGCAGCTTCCCTTTCCTCTTGGTTGTGATCAAAGTTACCTTGTTCTGCTTATGGATGAGCAAAGTTAGGGAAGTATCATACTCAAACACAGGCTGAGTACAGTGTGTACAAACAGGGTGCACCTGCATGCACAGCTGATGGGAAGGGCTTGCTCGTGCATTCTTCACCAGAGGGGAAAGTGGGCAAAAGTCTCGTGCAGCTTTAAATCAGTTTAATATCAACTGGGATCAAACCCTTAAAAATTCATTAGCTTAAGCACAGGGAATATCACAGTTGACTTCAGGTTGTGCTGCTGCTTTAAATAAATTTTTTCTCCTTCACTTTCTGAATTTCTTTTCATTTTAACCCTGAATATATACCTGGATTTGTGGGTAACATCAATATCCCTGTAAAACTTTTGGTCCTGAAATTGCTCGTTCCTATGGTTAACTGCTGCTGCCTTAATTTGGTTGTATTTTATGACCCCTGTTCAGTCCTTATGAAACCAGACCCAAGTTTGGTGCATTTTAAAAGCTGAACAAAATAGTAGTTAGCAATTGAAAATTGTTCACTTGTGTCTTGTAAAGGGGGAGAGATTATCAAGTCCTGTGTATACGTATCGTATCTTGTATTTTTATTATCCATATTTCTGGGTGAAGGATTTCTTAGCCAATTTAAAATAAAATGTAGGGATTAGATTTGTGAGTGCCCAGAAATGCCCAGAGGGGAGGGTTCAGCTATGTGACGTGTGAAATACCAAAGAGGCAGCCCTGAGGGTTTCTCTCCTGCCAAGTAGTAAACTTCAGAGGGGAAAAAGGGAGAGAGAATGTAAGCAAACCTCAGTGCCTGCTCCGTGGCTGGCAGTTAATAAAGTGGAGAACATGAATGAACCATACTATGAAGAAGTCCAGAATTTCTATACATCTGACCTCAGGACACCTACACCAAAGGAAGCGGATATTTGGCCACAGGCTGAAAGGAGCAGCAGCAGCTCTGGAGTTTCCTTTTCTTGCCCACATGTCTGTCTTTGCCTCCTCTTGTTGAGCCTGATAGGCTGTGTGCTGGGACATCCTCAGTGTCTAGATTATGGGCCACCTTTCCAGCCCCCTTTTCACTTGGAGTTTTGCTCTGCCTATGAAAAATTTGGCTGCTGTGACCAGGAGAGAGACAACAGCATTGCAGCAAAATACTGGGATATCATGGATTACATTGATCCCCGGGGGCATAAGCTGTGTGGAACATACATCAAAGATATCCTGTGTCAGGTAGGGCAGAAAATAATATATGTATCCTATGCTTTGGGCTGGTTTGGGGGTCAGTTGAGGTTCTGATAACTCCTTATGGCTGCTCATGTTGCTGTGAAGGGAGGTGTAGGAGAAGGGAAAAGGTGGCCTGACAGGGAACTGGCACCTAATCCTCAGCGTGCATTTTGCAAAATGCTTTGTGTAAGGTGCATCACTCTGGAATCTGGCAATATATGGTGACATTTGCTAGCAATAATGGTTTATGAAAGCATTGCCCAGTGCAGATGATGATGGGAATCCTGCTGCTCAGTTGATTTTTTCGTAATGAAGGAGAGAATTACAGATCAATATTTATCTTCTGCTTGCAGCTACCAGGTGCTGGATTACAAATTCTACACGATCAAATGGTGTGGGAATTATGGGTGAAGTGTTTGGATCTCTGCACTGCATGAAGGATGTGTTTTGATTGTGTTCCTGCTGAGGATGCTCCAAATGGTGTGGTTGTTAAAGTAGAACAAAATTTAGTAGGCAGTGGTTTCAAACAGCTGCTGCAAGGTCCTGAGGCTGCAGTCACAGCATTTTCATCAGTGCTGTCTCCACATTGCCCACCTGGCTCATGGAAACGGGCACTGTGCAGAGAGGAAAGACCACAGGCACTGTTCTGGCTGAGCTCCTCTGCATCCCCGTAATTAGAGGGCAGAACCCACCTGCCTTTTTCACAACTGGTAGTCACACAAAGCTGGACTCATTGCATGCCAAAATTCAAAGCAGCCAAAAGACACACTTAATCTTTCTAAGAATGTATAAAACTCTTGTAGTTAATATTTCCTTAGCTCTAAAGTATTATCTGTGTACCAAAATGTTTCCACTATTTTTTGATGCTGGCAAGATTGTGGCATCTGCTTGGTGTAAAGGACACATCCTTTCAGCACCACGGCTGGAAAAAAGTAGCATCAGGGTGGTTGTGACTTTAAAGTTGGTAAACCAGAAAAAAGATGTGTTGCAGGTCCTAGCAGAACCACCGATGTTGATGTTATGAAGATTTCTCTATGTTTCAGGTAGAAAAAGAACACTATAAAAATTTACCATTGCTTCTTTGATTGCTCATTCTGCAAGGCGTAATGTAATTTCGTTCTAAGTGTATTTTGTAAACAAACAACCAACCAAACCAAAACAAACAAAAACCCTAAAACCCACACTCTTATTTACTTATAGATTTTCAAAGTTATAAGCTATTACTATTTTTTCTATATTTTAGATTAAGATTGCTGTTAAATCTTTGAGCTTGTGATTGTGTTATGTGTTGCTCTTCCTGGTCAAGTTGGTGACAACCATGGAAATGATGTTGGGTTCTCTAGCAAATATTATTGAATTAGTGAATATATTTAATATTCTCTAGCAAATATTATTGTATTAGTGAATATATTGAATATATCAAATACATTGAATTAGTGAAAGAATGAAGATCTACCAAATGGTTTTGCTTTAGGAAGTCACTTCGCTGGAAATTGTTGCTGATCTCATGTGGAAGGGATGTGAAATGATAACATCTCCATTCTACCACCTCCACAGTATCCTGACAATTTGTAGTCACTACCTGTGAAATGTTCACGTGTACTTATTGCCACATTAAATATGAAAATACAGATGCATTTATGTGATCAGCATGTAATTGTGCCAAGTGCTTATTTCTGCAGTGTATGGCAGGACTTCAGATAAACGGCTGCTGTTGGTAAGGAGTGCTTTTATTGATATTCTCCATATGGAACTTAGGACACAAAGATTAGTCTCAGAAGCAGTGGTAGACAAAATAATCTTGTTAGCTTTTGCCTTTTGAACGAAACATTGCAGGAAAGTAGTGTAGGTGCTTACTGAAAAACCTGAATAGTAGCTGCTCTAATTTAGCAAAGGTAGCATTATTTCACATTTTTGGGGAAGATCAGAGCAGTAGCTGTGTGTTGCAACAAAGCAGCTCATTCAGTTAGATGTTCCTTCAGTGCCAAACCCAGCAGACAGTAAAAACCAGACAACCTTCCTGGTGTGGCAATGAGGGGAGTGTTGAGCATTGCACAGAGGAAGCTGGTTTTGGCAACAGCAGCAGTCTCGTTGGTCCCACGGAGCCCAAGAAGGATGCCATGGAGCACATCTTACCTTGGCAGTGGGGCTGTGTGTTTCTTAACAGACAGATGATTATACAGGGATGTGTTCTGGATCATGGATTTCCTGCTGTCACTCTAAACCAGATTAATTTCTCTTAAAAACTAACGGGCTAGAAGAGGCATCTAAAGCAATCTGGCTCTGCTGGCAGAGCTGTTTCAGTTTGTGTCTGGCAAGATCTGGGGCTATGTTAGTTAGCTACACTTGTTTTAAGAACTTAGAGTTTTAGAGTCTGACACCCAGCTGAGGTGTTCTAGGATTTAGCTTAAAAACTGAATATGAAACTCTGAAAACTGCCTGTAATGTTCTTAAAGAGGTGTTGTACAAGTTGCGTGGCTAGAAAATTTCCCTGGATGCAAACCTTGCTATGTGTGCTAGAACAGCTGTTTAGCTGATGACTGGGAGGATGCTTCTCTGTTCAGAAAACTGCTACAGGAGAAGCTTAAAAAAACAAAAAAGGTCAATTAAGCCTTGTTCAAGATGATTGAAAGCTGTGATATTAGCATGTGATGGGAGCTGATGCAGGGAAAGCAACATACTTTCTAAGCCAGTTTTAATCAGAGGCTTGACTTGATTTCTGAATGCATACTCTTTAGAGAAACTATTACAAAACAGCAGTGAAGCATCAACATGATCCTAGGAGTTTCTTTGGTTTTATAAAGTAGTGAGATTAGTTTTCCTGCATGCTTGAGTGAAATGAAAGCAGACAACCAACGGTGACTGCAAGGCCACCTAATCCTGGGAGTTTACACAGACCCTGAGGAACAGCCTCCTGTGTCTTGCTGGGTCTATGTGCTGCAGGCATTGTCTTGTCAGGCAAACACTGTGGGGGAAGCCCAATGTCTGGGAAAGCATGGCAGCTGCTCAGGAGCTACACTTATTCAGGAGCATGAACTGTAGAAGACCTTTATGCTGCGGCCTGTTGGCAGAACAGAGTTGAGGAAGCTCAGAGGTGGTGAGAACATGCCTTGTTTTAGAAGCAGCTGTTTTTAAAATGTTCTCAGGTTGCTGATCTGGGAGCTGGACTCTGCTCCCACTTATTTGAGAGAAATTAAAAATGTTTTCAAGGGTGTTAATAAAGTAATCACTTCAGAAAAGAGCTGAGAGGAGCTTTTCCAATGATTTGTGCACAACGGAACGGTGAGACAGCTGCAGCCACATGCTAGTGGGAATGAGGGAGATTCCCAGGATGAAATGCAGGTTAGGTTCTGTCTACTCTCCCACACCTTTCCTTGGAGACACCTTATCAGGCTGTCACCTCTCCTTGCCTCCTAGTCACTTGAAATCAGCACCATATTTTGTGCAAATATGGTGCTGATATAAATATAACTAAAACCTCAGCCCATTTGGGGGTGCATACATGAGTGTGTAGTGGTGAAAGCAGAGAGGGTGAGCAATGGCTAATGGACTCCATAAGCATCAGGGCAGGAAATGCCAGCCAAGTGTTGTTAAATGCTTGCACCAAAGCTGCTCTCCTTCAAGAAGGTGAGAACAGAAAGACAAGGACATTTACCTGAAGCTTTGACTTTTGCGTATGGTGCTCAGGGTCTGGTGGTGCCCTTCCTTGTTATGGAAGGAAATTAAAAATGGGGAAAATGGTGTGGTTCTGCCAACTGGGGCTGGGGTCAGGCTGCAAGGGCAGGCCTGGGAGATTTGGCCTCCCTTTGCAAGGCTGGAGACTTCCGATTTGGGAAGTGGGAGAGGTTCCTTACAGATGTGATGCAGGAGCAACAGAAACAAGTTCATTCTATGCAGCTTAGTAACCAAATGGCAGCAATGAAAAGTGAGAAACTTACTACACCATCCAAGAACTGAACTTAACTACTTACAAATCATATCTGTTTTTATTACGGCCAAAAGCCCTCAGGTACTTCTGTGAGCACAGGAAACAGCTTGCTGTGTGAAGTTTGCAATCAAGGACTGTAGTCTTCACATTAAATATCCTGGAAAGGCTGTGTCTTGCACAAAAAAAAAAAAAAAGGTAGTGCTTGTATAGCTGCCCAGATTTTTTAAATGAATTTTGTTTAATGAAGCGAACTTGTTTAATGAGGCAGAAAAATTGCTAATGCAGTAGTTCTTCATTCGTCGACTTCCTACGTTCTTACCTTCCTACATATGTGCCCAAAAAAGACCCGGATAGATTGTTTTGAACTGTTGGCATTGAAACCAATAAAATAATATTTCTGCAGAGTTTAGTCTCTTCTGTTTTAACTTCTGCAACTTTGTGCTGATTAAGATAGAGGTGGAATTTTAATGGAAATGTTTTATGGAAGTTCTGGCCCAGAATTCCTACGAGATAAGGAGTTAAAATTTAGGTACAAATTCAAACGCAATGCCTGATTTTCAGAATTTAACCTATATTTTGCACAGCTAAAACTTAATCTTTCAAGGAACATAATTTAAATACATAAAACTTGAGAATGTTGCTTGCAGTGGTTTTTTCCTGATGATCACATATAGAGTCAATGATATCTACATGAATTGCATAGGATGATATTTACTTACCTGAATCAGTTTTAAATCTCAACTACATCTGCTTTGGTAATACTGTGCATGCAGGAACACGACTGGAGTTGTACAGCATCAGACCAAGGATTAATTTAGCCTGTGTATTTAATTGATATACATCTTTAACAGATGTACATCAATGTACATCTGGCAGAGTTTCCCCTTCTTTTGTAAACCTGGCTCCTATTACCGTTATCTGATGCTCCCTCATTTTTCTTCTGGGGGTAAGTGTAAATATCACAAGTGACTTCTCCATGTCACTTGTGATGTTTACAGACCTCTGTTAAGCTCTTGTCCTGCTCTGATTACCTCTCTGCAAGACTGTTGAGTCCCATCTTAGTGAGTGGAGAATCCCCATCCTCCACAGTTGTACTTCTGTTGGGAAGAATTTTGCACTTTGATGAAGGAAACTACTTCTGATCTCTAAATCCATTTTGGCCATATCCTGAGTGACTTTCTACTACTCCACATCAAGGATGACTCTTTATGTTCTCTGCATTACTAATTTTTCATTTTATTAACCAGTTTGCTTTCATGAAGACATCTTGGCTGCTCCCAGATGTGTGTACACAGTCACATACTTAGTTTCTTTTATTTTCTAGGAATGTTCTCCATATGCTGCACACCTCTATGATGCAGAAAACCCTCGGACACCTCTAAGAAGCCTCCCAGGGCTCTGCTTTGACTACTGCTCCGAGTTTCATTTCAACTGCCGCTCTGCCATCCACCTGCTGACGCGTGACAAGCACATCCAAGAATGCTGCGAGACAAACAGAACGCGCTTTTGCCACCTCCTCCAACTGCACGACGAGGACTACTGCTTCCCCAATGTGCTGAGGAACACGGCCCTCAACTACAACCTGGGCTCCGTGGTGGAGGACCAGGGAGGCTGTATCCAGCTCTGCCTGAGGGAGGTTGCCAACGGCCTGCGGAACCCGGTGCTCATGGTGCATCCCAATGACCGCTCCCACCGCCTGTTCGTGGCCGAGCAGGTGGGCGTCGTCTGGGTCTACCTGCCCGATGGCAGCCGGTTGGAGGAGCCCTTTCTGGATATTAAAAGTATAGTGCTGGCTACACCATGGCTAGGGGATGAGAGGGGTTTTCTGGGAATGGCTTTTCACCCCAAGTACAAGTACAATGGGAAGTTTTATATCTATTACTCATACATGGATAAGAACCGAGTGGAAAAGATCAGGATCAGTGAATTGAAGGTTTTGGCGTCTGATGCCAACAAAGCTGATCCGCGCTCTGAAAGGTAAAGTTGAAGATGAATGCTACTGTAGGCCACAATGAGAAATCATTTTTCTCTGTCTCTGTCAGAGAGACAGGTAGACCCAGGTATCAATGCAGACTAGGGATGAATGGATTGAGAACAGCCCTGCTGAGAAGGACTTGGGGATGCTGGTGGATGAGAGGCTGGACATGACCCAGCAATGTGCACTTGAAGCCCAGAAAGCCAGCTGTGTTCTGGGCTGCATCAAAGCAGTGTGGCCAGCAGGTCGAGGGAGGTGGTTCTGCCCTTCTATTCCACTCTCATGAGACCCCACCTGGAGTGCTGCATCCAGGTCTGGGATCCCCAGTGCAGGAAGGATAGGGACCTGTTGGAGTGAGACCAGAGGAGGGCTACCAAGATGACTAGAGGGGTGGAGCACCTCTCCTATGAGGAAAGGTGAGAGAATGGGGATTGTTCATCTTGGAGAAGAGAAGGCTCTCGGGTAACCTAATTGCAGCCTTCCAGTACCTAAGGGAGCCTACAAGAAAGATGGAGAGAGACTGTTTACAAGAGCATGTAGTGACAGGACCAGGGGGGAATGGCTTCAAATTCTACCTACTGAGGGTAGGTTTAGATTAGATATTAGGAAGAAATTCTTTACTGTGAGGGTGGTGAGGCACTGGCACAGGTTTCCCAGAGAAGTTGTGAATGTCCCATCCCCAGAAGTGTTCAAGGCCGACTGAGCAACCTGGTCTGGTCCAAAGTGTCCCTGCCCACAGCAAAGGGGTTGGAACTTGATGATCTTCAAGGTCCCTTCCAACCAAACCATTCTATGATTCTTTCCACTTACAGAACCTGCCCATTCCCAGTCACCCTGGTTCAGGTGTGTGACTGGCCTACTATGAATCTACCAGAGACAAGTTGGCTCAAGGTCACACAGTAAATCAAAATTGAATTGAAAAGAGGACCCAGGATCTAGACTTCCAGGTCTTCTTCTCTCTCCATCTTGTACTCTTGTCTTCTAAAGAGAAATAACAGCCTTAAGCCTATTATGGAATTCACATCTGCTCTAAGTGTTTTGTACTGTAGGAGAAGGGGGATGCTTTGCTACAGTACTATACACTCTTTTTATGTGCCATGTGTGCACCTACCCTGTTCCCTGCTAAGAAAAAAGCTAATTCTCAATTATGGAGGAGAATTTTTTAAAAGTGGTCTTCTTTTCTCTAGAATTTCACAATCACCCTATGATGGGTCTGAATCCCTCAAATTCACCAATTGCTTCTCATATAAGAAAGCAGAACCCACCTGCCACAACCATAGTTGAAAGGGCAACAATTATTCCCTGCAGAGGAATGCATTCTGTATTTGCAGTTGTGTTTTCAGAAGAGCTGTGGTACTCCTGTGTCCATGGTGGTGGGTGAGCTCCATAGCATAGGAGGTGCTAATGCAGTGCAGGCCAAAGCAGGAATGCTGCTTGGTTCATGGTAAAAGTGTTTCCTTGAGGGGTGCCACACTGAAAGGAGCTCTGCTGTATGGCAGGAAGGTGGCCTGATGCTGCAGGCTCACAGGAAAGCAGATGCCACCCAGCAATGTGTTTGACAAAGCTGGCACATCTGTACATCTGGGACATCCTGCTTTCTTCTGTAGGAGTGGTGATGTGATATTTCTGCAGCTTCCCAAATGTTCAGTCCTTCCCACTACCTACATCTGGACTTATTTGTCTTTTCTTTGTTTTTCCAGGAATCTTTTGGAGCTTGAGGAACCAGCTGCAAATCATAACGGCGGGCAGCTGCTCTTTGGTGTGGATGGCTATATGTATCTATTCACAGGGGATGGAGGGAAAGCTGGAGACCCTTTTGGAAAATTTGGAAACGCTCAGAACAAGTAAGTAGGAAGGGAGGTGAAAGCTTTGAGCTTGTTCACTAAGATACAAGGTTTAGAAGTGAGTCAGTGTGGAAGAATAAAGTAAGAGTGCTTCCTGAAAGTGCTTATGCACCTGCAAGTCTATCCAATGCAGCACTTAAAAAAATTCATCTTGCATTTAAAAGCCAAGTTGTTTAGGGAAGAGAGTCTTCTGATTTGAGAAGGTTGCAAGACATACCTGCTGTTGGTTAATTTATTTTGGACAGATAACATTCCTTTGAAAAGGGGGAAGAGAAAGATAATTTTTGTGTTTTCAGTTGGCTCTCATGCTGGGGTTTCTTTTTCTGCTGTTCTCCTTAGGAGTACTTTGTTGGGGAAAGTTTTGAGGATTGATGTGGATGGAAAAAGTCCTGATGGAAAGCCTTACCGCATCCCTCCTGATAACCCATTTGTGTCTGATCCCAAGGCCCGCCCTGAGGTTTATGCTTATGGGGTCAGGAACATGTGGCGCTGTACAGTTGACAGAGGAGACCCTGTCACAAAAAAGGGAAGAGGGAGGATATTCTGTGGGGATGTCGGGCAGAACCGGTTTGAAGAAATCGACCTCATTGTTAAAGGAGGGAACTACGGCTGGAGAGCAAAGGAGGGATTTGAATGCTATGATACAAAGCTTTGCCACAATTCCTCTTTGGGTAAGGAAGAAGTTTTCTCATAGAAGACTACTTTATCATATGTGTATATTTAGTGGGCTATAGCACTGTTTTTCCAGTGAAGCTAATAATCCCATGTTGTGTGTTAAATAGAGATTGTTTACTTAAGAGCAGAAATCCCTTCTCCCCAGCCCTGCAGTGTTGGTATGAAATTATGCTCTGCTTATTCAGGGAATTCTCTGCCACACACTGCACCTGACAAGGTGTTCAAGTTCAAAGCCTGTGCATTTTGTAGGCAGCGTTTTTCCAGTGAAGTCAGGAAAGCAATGGATTTGGTTTACGTAGAAAAGAGATTCTCTTCAGAGGCTCTGAGCCATGACTGTGGCTAAGGAGAGCGGACTAGGCTGATCCTGAGACCCTGAAACAACTCCTGTGGCAGAGGCAGTGTGTCCTAGCAAGCAGGGTATTGCAGTAGAACGCCCAAAAGCTGTTCTCTGGGTCTGACTGTAGGTTTGATGGACAAACTCAATTCCTGCCTCAAAAAAAGAGTAGAAATTGGTGGTCTTTGTAAAGGTCTTTGCAAAGCATGCTAGAAGAACTGGATATTATTATAATGTTCCTTAAGCTGAGACTTAAAGACACCTGGTCTCAAGCTTGTGTAGGTGTTTCTGAAACATTTGCATGAGCAGGCAAGTGCAGAGTGTGCATTACTGCACAAGTGCAATGCAAGTGCATTGTGCATTTCTCCTCTGCTGTGCCAGTACCCACATAGCTCTCAAGTTTTTTGTTTGGTTGCTTTCCTAATGGCCCAGTCCTCCATTGAAAACAAAACTGAGTTGGATTTTGCTGGTTAATCTATGGTTTTTAACGAATTGCATTTGTGATCTTTATCCTCATCGTTAAAGACAAGCTACTTGATCCCGGGGAAAAAAGTGAGGACAGGACTAAAATTTTGTGGGATCTAATAATGCAACACAAGAAAGGGCTGAATTAAATTTTAGCATCGCCAAAGTCTTTATTTTATTAAAGTCTCATGACATAGAACAGAGGTAGCACGCTTATTCAAGTTCTGTGTTGAGAATGTCAGTGAACCTACAAAGATGTTGAGTTAAATTGCAAGTGCTTGATCTTACTCCCTTCTCTAAAAATACTGACATCGGTAAAGATGATCCCTGTTGAAATGATTGGTGCAGTCACAAACCTGTAAGATAACACTTCCTGCAGGCTGATACCTTTCTGCATTGCTTGCTTGATGCAAAGAATCTTGGTTCTATGTGTTATGGAAGCTCATCACGACTAAGCCTTCATAAGGAAGTATGCGAAGAGCTCCTTAAAGCCCCTGGGCCTGTTCTGTCCTAGAGTAAATTACTGAGTTCCTACTGAAATTTCACTGTGTTCAACTGTATTGGTCCTTCTTTTAATTGTAATGTAGGGTCATTGAGCAGTTGCTTTTTGATGCTCTCTGGAAGTAAATTTTCTGACTTTTTATTTCTCTGAGTTTAACAGATGACATTCTCCCAATATTCGCATATGGCCGCGGTGTGGGGAAGTCAGTTACTGGAGGTTATGTCTACAGAGGATGTGAATCGCCCAACTTGAATGGCCTTTATATTTTTGGTGATTTCATGAATGGGTGAGACTAATTGTTTTCTCTGCAGCTCCCATTTGGCACCCTCATCTGGGCAAATAAGTGTATCCCAAACCCTTTTGAGCTGGAGTAAATGAGAACATTGAATGTCTGTGTACTAGATTAAGTGCTCTGTTTGACTATTATAACAACTTTTTTTGTTGGAACCTAAACTTACTCCAATTTAGAATCCTTAGGATACATTTGCTTTTGTTCAGGCCTATTTTTCCAAAAATCAGCCAACAGTCAAGGTCCTCACTGACTTTTTTTCAGTAATGCATGATTTTGACAGGAACTAATTTTGATAATGGAAACATAAAATACAGGATTTTATTTTTCATCTAGTCGACTTATGGCTTTACAGGAAGATGAGAAGACAAATAAGTGGAAGAAGCAGGATATCTGTATCGGCAGCACAACAGCTTGTGCTTTCCCTGGAATGATCAGCTCTTATAGCAAATTCATCATCTCATTTGCTGAGGATGAAGCAGGTGAGTATCGTGCTTCACTGGAAACTGTACTGTCAGATCTCTGTTGTAGGGAGAATGTGTAAAATTATGTGGCTCCTCACATGTTACTACAGAGTAGGCATTGCAAACAGGTTTGTGGCTGCCTCAGCACTGCAGGGAGGGTTGGTCTGTGGTTCATAGAGGTCTCCTGCCCTGTGTGGCTATTGCAGATTGGCTTGACGGAGAGCTCAGGAGACAGATCCTCACGTGAAATATGTCAGGTTTTCTAAGGAGTCTGAGCTCCTGTTTGTTGCAGCCTTTTCTTGTCCTCTTGTTGATGTTTGTTTGTGCTGTTTCATTAATCAAAAGGCTATATCAATGCAATTCACCTTTTCATTGTAACAGCTCATCCTCGCTTGAGTTCTTAGAGCTTATCTGAATTTTCCCTGCTTCCTTAGTATAAGTTTCTCAGTCTTATTCAAAACATCAGCACTTTACACTATGGATTATAGACCAAGGCTATCAGGAAAGCCACTCATTTTAAAATTTAGTGTAAAGGTCTCAGCACATGAGATATATTATTAAAGGTCACAATGACCAGATCTCTCACCAAGGTGGAAGTACCAGTGGATATTTTGTGCACTTTTCTACAGTCTCCTGACACAGCTATGTAATACAAAATGCAGCTGTGAGTTTTTGGAGAACACAGGTGTGGTTTAGTGAGCTCTGATGCTTCACCATTCAGCAGAAAAGAGATTTGCTTGCAATGAAAAGATCCTAGATGGTCTGGTTAGCATATTCTGTCAAAGCTTCATGGACATGCAGGCTTTGTTGTATAATGTATACAATTTTTAACTGTTCTAACAACATGTGGAGTGAGTGGATATTAAATGTCTCTTCTCCTGGTGGTGCTTTTAGAAAACAACATGGTGATGTCTTCCACAACTACCACAGAGAAATAAGAAGCTTCTGTCTTCCATGGATTAGCCACTTTAGCTCTTTTGGGATTTCTTCTTTTTTTTCTTTGGTATGACTATGAGATGGCTAAACATTTCTTGTGTGGTCTTCCCCTCTATTTGTAGCTTCTGGCTGCTTCTTCGGTACAAACATGTTTTAAAAAATACATATTTATACAGAGGAAATTAACCTTTTGGAGAGCCACAGACATGAGGTAATGAAGGTCCTGCTCAGGCATTCTGCCTGATTGAGAGCTGCTGGTTCTGTGTGGACCGCTGCTGTGGCCAAGAGACGATGGTGTCTGTGGGAGCCCACCTGCACAGATCAGGGTGAGGCCAAAGCCTGATTCTTGGACATAAGGCATGACTGAGGGGGTAACTGAAGGGGTTTTCTTTTCTGACCACATGAATTAGTGAAGAACCAGGAAAGAGAGGAAAATAGAGAACTGGGATTCAGCTTGGGCACTTGAATCTAAGACCAGTTTTCTTTTTTCACTTCCATACAGGTGAGCTGTATTTTATGTCTACTTCTTATCCCAGTGCCTATGCACCACATGGATCGCTCTACAAGCTTATTGATCCTGCAAGGTTTGTAGTTAAAGATGTTTTTCCAGGCCAAGTTCTTCTATAATCACCATATGCTCTCCAGGTACCACAGTAAAAGAATGCTAAGTACTACTGATAGATAATCTCACTGACATCTACATTCAGTCCTTGGTTTTTGTTCACCCACTGTACATCTGGTGCAACTTTAATCAGTTTTAATGAATTTCTTCCTCACTCGTCATATCTGTGCACACAGAAATAGGAAATAGAGTGCAAATACCTTAGAAGATCTGGGAGAGTTAAGGGTTAGAAGAATATCTCCTTGGTTACATATCTGAAATATAGCACAGTGATATTTTAAAAACTACAGTCCATATCCTTCAGGGTCATTACATCAAATATCTACCATACACTTTAATATAAATAAGTGAATTGTACTCCACAGCGTAGTTTTTTTCATGAAGATGAGTGAAACGTGGTGGTTCATGCAGTGTTCAAATAATAACTGGAGTCTGAACCTGAGTTTTTCCAAGCAAAATATTTTTCCCCATTAAGCATTATCCTTGCTAAAGTCTGTTTTTACAATAATAAGCACACTTACATAATTTTTTCCTCTCCCAAGATTTTGGATCTTGCTAAAAAGCATTAAATGGGTTTCAAATTACCCTATAAAGTAGATACAGCACAAATGTGTCTGTGCTGTTGCAGACAGCACACTAACAAAATGAAGACATCAAGTTATGTTTTCTTGTGAAGTTAAATCCAAAGCTAGATGGTAAACTCAAGCTCTGTACCAAGGTGATGAGAATAGGAACTTTTGAGTCTTTTACTTGCTGTAGCTGCTTGAGGAGACTCCTGCCTTTAACACATCATCTGCCAGGAAGTTTTTGAACTGCATTAACTGTAGCTGACCAAAATACAATATTTTCAACTAAAAAAATCTATATTTGTGAGCTGGCATAAACATTGAGAGCTTGTGCCTGCTCTATTTCACCAAAGAAAAAAGCTCTACAGTCTCTATGCCATGAAGACCCTGTGCTTTTGAAGCTTCATGTCCCTCACTTCTAGAGCAGGACCAGGCACTTATTTCCTTGGCTCTCTGGAATTTATTCTTGTATTTTCTGCTTCATCTTGTTTACTTTAGCCCGGATGCTGCTCTGTCAGCTTTGCCCTTGTCTGTTTGTTTAAGCATGTTGCAGGCTTGTCCAGGGTTGTGCTCCCCTGAAGCCTGAGCATGCTTGGCCCTGGAGCAGAGTGTCCTAACACCTCCAGCTCCTGGACTGTACTCTGGCCTCCTCCTAAATGTATCAAGTGGAGATTTTTCCTTTCTCCTTTGCATTTTAATGCTGTTCATAGGATTTTTCCTCTACTGTCTTGCTGGGATAACTGGCTCCCCTGATGGGAGCAGTCCCAGTCTGCCCAGCCAGGCACTCCCTGCCTCCTGCCCACGTCAGCCAGCACACTGGCAAGGACAGCAAGCCACACAAATACCTGCTTTCAAAACATTGCCAGGGCCACTGCCATACACCTGATGGCAACTCAAACTTCCCTAGGAACCTGCCAGGAAAACTGGTGACAACAGTGCCATTTGTCCCCATTTCAACTTGTCTTTCCAGCACTACTCTTGGAGACAGCAGAGTGGTGCCTGGATTGGGACCAAATTCCTTCAGTCATAAGCAGAGGGAAAATGAGGTAGGAAGTGATTTAAAAATTAGAGAGGAGAAAGAGGGGGGGATCACCCCCTCCCCCCCAAATCCCTGCAAGCAATGCCAACAACTCCGCTTTACTAACCTTTTTTTAAAAATTGAAATGGTGTGGAGGAAGCACTTGGCTCTTATCACTGTCTGAAATAGAATGCTAATCATAAGAAAATGTGATGCCTTAGGTTATGCTTTGCTTTGCTCTGTGCTGTCGAGCATGCCAAATTGGAAGAACCTGTTCTTATTTGTCCTACAGCAGTTCCCTTGGTGGATAAGGGAAAACACAGGTGTGTTGTGCTTCTTTGTACCCCCTTCCTGTCATTTAATACGTGACAGCTTTACCTTGAGGAAAACATAGGTTTGGGTTTTTTGTGTGCTTTTGTACTGTGGGAAATTGTCGGGGAACAGCAGGAGAAGAACACGGACACATTTTCTTTGCAGTTGTTCCTCCCTCACTCCTTGCCTGTTTCTTTCCTTTCTCACCCCCTCACTGCAGCACCACATTGTGTCCGAAGCAGCTCCCTTTGAAGGTCACACTAATGTTGTGGGGCTGTGTGGGAACATTCTGCTGTGTGTGCAGAGATCCTTGTGCTGCACTGTGAGGGAGGGCAGAGAACTGTCACTGACAAGCCCTGTGTGCATGAGTGAGACTCCCCTGCTCCAAGGTGGGATGCACAAGCCAGTATTGGTGAGGACAGCCCAAAGTGACTGATCGTCTGAAACTGAATGCCCTTGAATTCAGTGGTGGGCAGCAAGTTCACACAGGCAGGCCAGCATCCCACACACAAACAAACAAACAAACAAACTGGCTATGGATGCTGGATAAAGACAGTCCAGGCTGTCTGATGACAGAAACTTGACAAGAAGAGTGGTAGAAGAAGCTGTGGCCTTCCAGCTGCTATTGGGTCAGGGATTTTGTGGCTTGCAGCCTTGTGTAGGCTCTTGAATTCCACCTGTGTTTCACTCCAGGTGCCTAAAGTGCTTTCATGCCTGTTCCACCAGAGGCAAATGACAACAGGTGATTGATGTGTGCCTACGAAATGAATAAAGTTCCCTAACAATCTCTGACATCTGCATATGGGTTTCTGTTTTCCAAGGAGAGCTCCACCTGGGAAGTGTAAATACAAGCCTGTTCCAGTGAAAACAAAGAGTAAGCAGATACCGTTTGTTCCACGTGCAAGTAAGTTGTCAGGCTTTGATTTTACTGAGAAGCAGAACATATAGTCATTTTTCCAGGATGTGATTGGAATATTTAGCAGTCTTAAAAACTAAAGCACTGAGCAGGACCAGTCTTGAAGTTTGGCTATCACATTTAACCTGTGCTTCTGCCATCTATGAGATGCCATGCTTTTTCTTAATCCCAGTCTCTGTTTTCTTTTTTCCTGAGTGTTGCCAAATAATAGTGTACATGGGCATCACAAGGGAACTGATGGCTTTGAGTCAGGTATTGGATTAGGTCTGGGAAGTTCTGAGCGCCTATGCCTGACTCTATGACAACCTCCTTGAATCAAATGATCCCCTCTCTGTACTTCTAGGGGAGTCAATCTTCCTTCCTCCTGGCCATCGTCTGTCTTAAAGTCTCATGCAACTAGGGCAGGAGTTCCATCTTGAGTAGAAATGGTGTTTAGCAAGCCAAAGTTATCTTGTCTCCGATTTCCAGATATTAGTGTAATATAAAAAATTTGTATTCTTAAGTCTACCAAAAAAGGGTGCGAGGTTTCATCATACTTTGCCTGGAAGTAACTTTCCTTAAATATACATTCATAATTTCTAAAATTAAACATTTTATTTCCAAGAAAACCAAGGGTCTTTTGATGGAAGAAGAGAGCTTTATAGTGTGCATTTCTTCTTTCAGAATGTTAGCTATTTTTCTTAACTGTAGCTCTGCTAAGGGTTTCTATCAGTTGTATCTCTGAATTAGCCTTTTGCCTTAAACCAGGGATGCTGAACCATGCTAATTACTTTCCTCAGAGACTGTCCTTGAGCTGCTTAATGAGCCTTCAACAGCCAAGCCTCCAAAAAAATCTTCTACCCTTCCTGCAGCCCTCCCAACGGTTTCTTCTAAGAAAGCAAATAAACCCCCATCCACCAAAATAAAAGCATCAACTGTGCAACCAGCTCCATCTGGTAAAGAGAGAAAGAGAATCAAAGCTGAGGCTAAACCTCACAAGCCAAGGCAGGGAGAAAAGGTTGCACACAGCTCCAGAACTACACCAGCGCCACCTTTGCCTAAAAGGAAGAGCTCCCACCTAGCCAGACCCAAGAAGGTTCTTCCGAAGAACGCAGCACTAGCTAAGGGAAAACTGGAGAAGAGGAGGAAGAAACAGCTTTTGAAGCTCAGTGATGCACCAGAATAAGCAAGTCACTTGTAAGATGGTGAAACAAATGTCTTGAATAGTGACCAAATAAAAGAGAATTTGACTGACTTATTATGCCAGTGCTCCCAGGTGTGCTTCTCTTACTGGCAGTGCTAGCAGTCTCTATATATGTTTTATTAATCCTAAAGTGCACCAGCCTCCTAATATTAGCTTTCTTTGCAAATCCTCCTATGATGTCCTTTTCTGACATAAGTGATTATGAGAGTCTCTGATGGACATTCGCTGGTAAGATTTATCTGTGCATGACTGTCTAATAAATCCGAGTGCCTCCAAATTCTGGGACTTTCATCTTTGATCAAAGAATATGGAAGAGATGTCAATGACCTCACCTTCCTCTTTTTTTTTTTCCTTTGAGACGCAGTGAAAAGTATATTTCAAGAGCAGTTGTCTTTCAGACAATGAAATTAGATATTTTTTTTCCTTTTTAAAGGGGGGTCACCAAGATGCTCAGAGGGCTGGAGCACCTCCTATGAATACACAGACTGAAAGAATTGGGGTCGTTCAGACAGGAGCAGAAAAGGTTCCAGGGAGATCTTATAGCAGGCTTTCAGTCCGTAAAGGAGGCCCACAAGAAAGATGAGGAGGGAGTTTTTACAAGGTCATATAGTGCCAGGACAAGGGGGAGCGGCTTTAAACTGAGAGAGGGGAGGGGCCAAGGAACCCTCAAACACCCAAGTTACATCTGAGCAATGAGGTGGAACCATCCTCTGGTTTGAGACCACCCACGGGGACGCGAGGCCGTCACAACCCTCAAAAGTTCAGTTCCAGACAAGTGTATTTATCCGGGAAGCGCAGCCGGGGCCGGACCTGCGCTCCCGCCCTGGGCCTCGGAGGCCGCCGGGGCCATGACGTCATTTTGCAGTCCCAGCGTTACGTTCGTCTCCAGCCACCACCCCCTGGAAACACCGGGTCAGGAATGCAAAAGGCACCTCCCCGCTGCCGCGGCGGTGGCTCTCGCCCGGCGGGGAGCGACCCCAAGCCCACAGCTTGGTCAGCGGGGAGATAATGATAAAAAAGAGGAGGAAAAGCTGGAGAGGCCCCAGCGAGGATCGAACTCGCGACCCCTGGTTTACAAGACCAGTGCTCTAACCACTGAGCTATGGAGCCACCTATCATTTCCAGCCCTGCCGACGGCTCCTGGCCCTCTCCCGCACCGCTTCCCCGCGCTCCTCCTGGATTCCGGGGGTGCCTCCAGCCGCAGGGTCCGGGTGGGCACCATCCGCCCGCCGCCCCCCGAGCCCTGCCCTTCGCCGGGGTGTCTGCCGGCCCGGGCGGCAGTCCCGCCGCTGGCGCTTCCAAGGCTCCCGGCCCCTTGGAGCTGTCTGGGGGCGTCTCATGCTCAGCACCCCCGGCACTGAGCCGGAGCCGCCCCGCACCCATGTTTTCCATGGGAAAAGCTGCCCGTGGCGGGGGTGTGAATCCCGCTCCCAGCTCACCTCCACGGCATTGCCCGAGGGTGGCCGGCCCCCTTCCCCCCTTTATCAGTGGGCGGTCGCACCTGCCGCAAATTCCGAGAGAAGTTGCCGTGGTGGTGGGGGTGTTTCAGTGGTACCCTGAGGCTTACGAGAGGATTGCTCCCGGGAGTGATTCCGCGTCCCTCCCGTGCTGTGAAGGAGGGAGCAGTCCCTCCCTGACGGAAGGTTTTGGGAGGTAAGGCTGCACAGCACGTGGTTTTGTGCAGAGTGCGGAGAAATATGCAGTTTAAGTAGATTATAAACAACTTACTGTTGTAAAACCTATTAGGTTTTGTGAAATAACTGTTGCAGGAAGACTGGTTTAACCCTCTTGCAAATAAACCACAAGTCGGGTTTGACTGGGGGATGAACCCAACAGCAGGATAGGCGTTGTGCAACCTTCATTTCTCTCTTGATTTTTACTGAGCAAGGAAGTTTGAGGCTATTTGAGGATTTTCTCCTTTTCTTTGCATAAAAGAGCCAGTCTGTCACGTGCAGACTTGCTCCATGAAAGCTTAGGTGACGGTGAAAAGATAAGCTGTGGAGAGGAAATTGAGAGACTCCACTACAGGGTAATAAATCTGAGCAGTTTAGCTGCACACTGGAGTAATGTTCTAGAAAAGCAGACATGATTTGCTGGGTGCAAGCTTCAAACTGCGTGTGACCAAAAGTAAAGCTCCTTGAAATGAGAATAGACAGAAAAAGCTGAATTAAGGAGTTAAAGGCCTTTCATCCATCCCACACTCCACAAATTATGAACTAGGTCAACATCCTCTTTTTATTTTTTTCTGTAGTTTTTATTTCACCTTTTCTTTAAATGGATATGATCTCTGTGGACAAGCTAGACCAGTTCTGGTGAACTCTGTCTTGTTGTTTATGTAAGCCACTAAAATTACTTTAAAGTATCTGCTTTTGACCTCCAATGTGGCAGCTGATAAATTAATGAAGTTTCACATTTCTTTGGTCGCCTTTTTGCCCTTTCCTTTGAAGATAGTGACTCTTTAGGGTTGGTAAAGCTCTTCTGAAGAGGGCTAAAATGTCTGTGGTGAGTGTTCTGCTAATGCCTCGGGGAAATGAAATATAAGCATAGCTTGTTTTATAACCTTAAAGTAGGCAGGAGCAGAACTGTCTTACACTTCTCATGCTATAAGACAATTCTACCTTCATCAGTCTAACACATCTGAGCAGCAGGGTAAGATGTATTCTGAGAACAGAACAGTGTTGAAATAAGTCTTCTGTGGTAGTGTGGCTGCCTGCCACCACTGGGCTTTTTAACTTAAGTGCAAATGTGTAACTGTTGTGATTTCCCTGCTTCCATATTTTGCTGCCCACTTAGAGCTCACTGCACGGGGGGGCTACACCTCAAATACTGTGTCACAAGACAGTCTTTCTTAGTCAAACACCCTGGGTGGGATTCAGAGGGTGTGATGGTAGTACCACGCTACCAGTAAGCCCCCTGACTTCTCTTTGTAATGGAAATTAGACACTTCTGGGATGTAATTCATCTCACCTGGAGGTAAACCTCTACAATAAGTCTTTTAAGTCATGGTGCCTATTTCTCAGTTGACTGTGATGGGGGTCGATGCTGACAATGTCAGCGGTTCAGAGACATCTCACTGGGTGTGACAGGTTTGTACCACTGAGCTGTGTTAAGGGAGCAGGTATCCTGCTGAGACCTGGCTAGGACACGGCAGCTGCTTTGTCTGACAGGCACAGCAGCACTGCAGAGCTCCTGTCTACAAGCTGCTAATTCTCTTGGCCAGTCCATACGCTCAGTTTCGTTAGCACAGGAATATCCTCTGGTTTAATTTAATACCCGTTTGATTTAGATGTTTAAACTAGAATAACTGTAGTTGGAAAATTTCCCTCAGAGGACCAAGAGAATTTTCAGGGAGATGGCAAGATAAATCATACGTTTAAAGAAGACTCTATGATTCTTTCGGCAGCTAGACACACAGATGTGAAAATGAAGCATTCAGGTGATAAATGCCTATCTAGTCTGCTGTTCATGGCTGTTGAAAGCCACTAGGTGGAACCTAAGGACTGCGTCAAGAGATGAGGAAAATCCTTTTAACAGAGTTCAAATGCTGAAAAGTGAGTTTTTACCACACAGGTTTTTTAAGAAAGATCTGTAGGATGACTTACCTTTAAATGTGTGCCAAACGTGTAAAGATGCACGTTTATACGTGCTCTGTAAAATTTCTGCTGATTTGCAATAAGATTAAACTTGTGTGTCCCCTTGCTTAAACCAGGACTTCCCCAAGCATGGGTTCTTTTCATCTGGTTCAGTGAATTAATACCGAAAGCAGTGGAGGGCTAATAGGAGCCGTTTGGTAAAAGCCCTGTGAAAGAAGTAGACAGGCCCTCTGCGAACTGCCTGGCTGGTATGACACGTTTGGCTTTTGCTTTCCTGTGGGAGAGTTTCGTAAGAGGCACTCCCATGGTGGGGAGGAATGCTGGATGTTATTGGGAGCAACACACAGAAAAGTTTCCTCTTCCTGAGGAAAGCTGTAAAGAAGGAGCAGAGTTTGAAAGATATGTCGTAGACCTTCTCTACACTGAGACAAAGCATCAAGCTAGAAAATAGGGTGGCTAATGTAAGAATAGGTATGGTCTTGCTCAGTCTGGACTAAGGTGTTATTAAAGAATGACTTACTTGTTGCTGATTAGCTCTGTGGCTGTCCTTAACAGCCCCACTGAACAAATACATGTTTAACTGCTTGTAAAGCTGGTGTCAGTCCACAGATGTCAACCGTGTTGCTGTGAGTTTATGTCCATCTCGTTAAGCACAGTGAGGTAATTTCATGCATATTCCATATGATCTTATTGCCATATCTTGCATTCAGATGCTAACAGGAGAAGTGAACGAAGGGAATGGCTCTTCAGACAGCTGGTTCATGAATTATCCCTGCAAATTCTCTTATACTACCGTATTCTCTTTTCTAAACTCCTTTACCCAGCCTGCCACCCAATTCCCTGCTGAATTCAGTTTCACTGGTGTTTCACAGGGTTTGGTTCTTTGTTGCACAAACCAGCGACCTGTTTTGGGCTGCAATAGTATGAAATAAATAGCAGGAAATATTTTCTCTGCAGACATGGTGTGTCTCCTAACAGGCTGTCATGGCTTGCCTACCTTTGTCCTCATCACACCTGATTTTCTGTGTCCTGAGGGAAGCCTAGTGCACCTGGGACTACCTCATCAGACGTACAGAGCAGCAAATCTGGCATGCTTTCCTTTCCTTGTTAAGTTTTGTGAAAAAGGAATTGCAGCATAGCTTCAGTCTTCTTGTGAAATAAGATGTTCTGTGGGTTTTAATGGTTTGACAGATTCAGCACTGTTGGGCTTTGTTTCTTAAAGAAACTGTAGTAACCAGAAGGTATTTGAGTTTAATGTATCCATTTTAATTGGCAAGTGCCAATGGATTACTCTGTCTTGTGCAAATGCACGGGGTTTTTTGAGTAATATGTTATTAAAATCAAGGGAACATTTCCTGCTGAGTTTGGGTGGCTTTTGGAGGTGGTCCTTGGGGTATTTTAGGCATGGAAGGATCTAAACATATGGTGGAGGCTCGCCTTCTCTTCTTCCTGTGAAGCTTTAAGTCCTGTTTGATTGAGATGTGCCTGAGGAAACTCCC